TCCGACACTAAATATCAACAAAATAAACACTTGGAGTATGCTGAGGCACCATTACGAAAAGGATTTAATGATGTGGTTAAAATAATTATTTGGTGCGAGTATTGGACTGTATCAACAAACATCGCATCAATAAACACCTATATTAATGCGGTTTTAAAACCACACCAAAAATAGCCAAAACCGCACTAAAAAGGATTCCTGAAAAATAGCCAGGACCGCACGATTAAATAAGAACCACATCATTAAACATCATCATCTTCCTTACAAAACTGTGGATCAGAAAACCATGTCCCATCAACTACAACTTCAGGAGGTTTTGAACACGTGAAGTCTTTCCTTAGCAGAACTGAGACCCTCTACATCACCACCTTGTCGAATACCCACCTGCCACCCAAACCACCGCCAACCACTATCTTCACCAACGCAAGAAAACTACCTAGTCGCACCACCCTTTTTCATACACCCACACCACTAGAGCATCAACTGTTACAGGCACAAAAAAGCCATTGCCACCTTTGTTAACCATCAAAAACTGTTGCCATCTTCACCTAAAAACCATCACCACCACTGTGAATCAGATAAAAAAAGGAAGAAGAAAAGAAGTGGTAACATTATGGAAACGATTGTACTAAAGGAGTAAAATAGTCGAACAATTGGTGGGAAAGATTATAAAACAAGATGGAGGAACATCCGCCTGTTACAACCACAAAAAAGCCATTTCCACCTTCTTTAACCATCAAAAAATGTTGTTATATTCACGGAAACCCATCACCACCACTGTTAATCACAAAAAAAGGGAAGAAGAAAAAAAGTGGTAACATTAGCAAGATTTAAAAACAAGAGGGATGAACTTACCAAGTTCCCATTATCCAGAAGGATGACATAATCAAAGAGACGAGAGTTAGTTCTTTCTTGGATGAGTAGACCACCGAACTAACAAACAACAATGCATCCTTTCACAAGTATATAATCTGCAAGTGTGGAGGGAAATCAAAAAGTAAAACCAATTTTTTAGGGGAAATGAAAAATTAAATTGTACGGTTCATGGGTTTTTAATGATGCGTTTTTATGGTGTTTAACGGTGCAGTTTTCAACTAACGCATCAATAAATGCGTTTTCAATGGATTTTATTGCGGTTATAGAGAAAACGCACCAATAAATGCTTTAATAATGCGGTTTTAGACTACACTGCACCAAAAAAACTGATCACACTAATAAATGCTTTCTCTACAAGTGAGGTGTGGACCTGTGTTATTCTATGCCGATGGGCCTAACCCGATTCTATTTTATGTTTGTACTTTGTCTATATATAACGACCTATATATAAACAGGGTTTCAATTATAATATACTATCATATTTAAGCTCATGCATAATAATACTCTCTCCTTCCATGTGACAAGTTGCGTTGACCGAAACACGTTAAATATTGTGTCTTTATTTATGTGTGTGATTTATTCGTGACAATTACAAATCGACATGTTTTAAAACCCGAATTTTTAGTTGAACCTGTCTAATGACCGGTTACCAATTCAACCAATTAGACCTTCGGTCTATATCTAGCAGTAATGTGCCTTGGACTTCAAATTGTGTACGTTCTGGATAACTTGATTGATCAAACTATTCAATTTTCTTTGGAAATAGCCTTTTTTAATAACCCAAGTCGAATAAACGAGTTCAAACAGTTTTTACCAGTTCTATCACACCGGTTTCTGAAAAAAAAGTCTGGTTCAATCCGATCTAGAACTTAGCATAAAATTCGTCATTGTTGAACCGATCTTGTACTTGGTTCTCGCCTTCTTGGTCCGACCACCGATCTCGTACTTGGTTCTCGCCTTCTTGGTCCGACCACCGATCTCGTACTTGGTTCTCGCCTTCTCGGTCCGACCGGTTCAACCGGTTGGTTCAAACCGTTTTTTAAAACGCTGCAAATCAGTGCTCTGAAAAATAATTATGATCCAATAACACAATAACGCTTAAACCAATAAGAGCATCTACAGCCTTGCAAGGTAAATACCTTGCAAAAACTGTCATGTGTCAATATTAAAAGCCAACTCACCAGCATGATTATCAATTCTTGCAAAAAAACAATTGGTGGTCCACTATTCTTTTGCAAAGCTTTCAAATTTTCACAATAGGTAAATAACTAATTATTGAGAAATGTGGGCCGTAATTTTTTTGCACGACTTTCCAAAGTTGAAAGTGGTATGTAGATGACAATTAAAGTCGGTACAAGTGGCATTGCAAAACATTTGAAAGAAGCGATGCAAATTATCTAAGGCCATCTCCCATTAGAGTTTAATGGAGAGTTTACTCTAATTAAACTCAAAATCTCTATTGTGTAAAAATGACTAGGATTCAATAGACTGAGGAGTTCAGTCCCCATTGAATTCTATAGTCTCCACACACACACACACACATATATATATATATATATATATATATATATATATATTATTTCAAATTTGTAATTTGTAATTTTCAATTAATGTTATCCCTTTTTACGTCTACATGCCCCCTGTGTGGCGACATGGGGGCGAAAAAAGGAAAGAGAGATAGGGTTTCTCTCGCTTTTGGCATAGTGGGCCCCTAGTGGGGGGCTCGTACGACGGACTATTAGCTCAGTGGGTAGAGCGCGCTCTTGATAATTGTGTCGTTGTGCCTGGGCTGTGAGGGTTTTCAGCCACATGGATAGTTCAATGTGCTCATCGGCACCTGACCCTGAGATGTGGATCATCTAAGGCACATTAGCATGACGTACTCCTCCTGTTCAAACCGATGTTTGAAACCAAACTTCTCCTCAGGAGGATAGATGGGGCGATTCAGGTGAGAGTGGTTCGAATATATATATATATATATATATATATATATATATATATATATATATATATATATATATATATATATATATATAAAGAATTTCTTTTTTATACTTCGTACTATTAGATAGTGTCCATAAATCTCATAATAGGTCCCCATAGATTCATAATGAATTTCTATGGGAACTTCTCTTGCAGCAATAACGCGTTGATCTAGTTGCCACTTCAGCCACAAAGGACTACCTAAATTGATTCGTTTTTGCAGATAAGCTCGACGAAGACTTTTTGTTGCTGTCGGAAAAAGAAGAAGTCCCAACCCTATTAACATAGGAACTGGAAGTGGAAGGAAATGTATTATCCATGCATATTGATATGTCGGTTCTATAAAAAAGTTTTTTTATTCTTAATTAATTAATTAATTTTTTCCGATTCACCGGTTCTTATCTAGTTTGAAAAAAATCAATAAAAAATCAAGATATGCACTAACTTATTTTAATTGTAGTTTTTAATTTTTAATTTCATGCTAATTAATTATTTAAAAAGTAATAATGAGTAAAAAGAAAATGATAAATGATGTGACAATCTATTAAATTGTATAAAGTTTAATGGAGTGTAAAATTTAATAGATAAAGTTGTATAATGAGTGGAATGTATACTTGTAAATCCATTGAACTCACATGAATTCAATGCATTGGAAATGACCTAAGAATAAAACAAATTGATAGCAGATTCAATCATATGATGTATCATTGGATGTAGTAAACTCTCTTATATTCAACATGGTACTGTTTTTGCGTCTTTAAACAAATGAAACATAACATGAAAGCAACTTGCCATGCTCGCTTTCATGCAACGTCACTTAAATAACAGGCCTTAATTTGAATCAAGAAGAATAATATAATAATCTGGGTTAGTTTAAACCTTAATGTTTATCACTACTCCAAAGGGAAGCACCCTAAAATACAAACAAATGATGACCAATGTGGACAAGATTAACGAAGCTGTTGATATCCTTTAAATGTTCTTGCCTCCTTGTTTGGAACTTCTCAGTTGCTTTCTGCAAGTCGGCCGAACTGCTTTCTTCCAATATTTAAATGCCTAATGATTAAGGGAAAAACTGGGACGAGATGTGACGGCAACACATATATGATCATGGAATCTTTCTTGAAAGTGTTATTCGTTGGCTGTTAGTTTTGGGTTTTATATAATAACTAATAATTAATGTTGAATGAACATTAATCGATATGTGCGTTTAAGTAGATAATAAAAGCTATACATTTTGACGGAATTAATTAATGAGTATATTGTTGAATGTGCATTCTAGATGTATACATTTAGTCTTTTGGTAAAATGGAAAACCCTCGAAAATCAAAATGATTATTAAAAAACAGAATTTTCCTAACTAAGATGACATGTGATTATATAAAAGAGAAAATCTTGATTTTCAAATACTGTGCATCGAAAACAAAATAAAAATGGTAAAATCTTGTAAACTTGGATCGGAGAACTAAGTTAAAAGTTAAGCTTCTGAAGTTTGTATGTTTTCTCACGCGTCATGTGAATAGGTCAATTGTTTTACTCTATTTGTATTTTCATAACAGATTAATTATTGTCTGTCGAAACATTATAACATTGTATACTGAACAACGACATGAAATAAGTTAGTTAATTACCTCGATGCCCTTGCCACTCAGATTTTTATAGAAGGAAGCATCACAACATACATATTCTATATATATACGGTCCAAAACTGTTCTTCCACCATTCTCATAACTTCTGATTCTTTCTTGTAGAAGTCTGATCAGGAACCCAAGAACCCTAGTTGTCATGGACACTGTAATTCTCAGATATACTTTCTTGTTTATTTTCATATTTTCAATGCATTCTAAATTTCTAATCCGTTTGTGTTCACTTATTTAAAATTTTCAGGAAAAAGATGTGCTCATTGAAGGTAAAGTGGACTGGAAAGGAAGAACTGCTACAAAGAACAAGCATGGAGGAATGCGAGCTGCGTTTGCCATATTAGGTAAATTAACTTCTTGTCTTTGTAAACGTGTATGTATATATATATATATATATATATATATATATATATATATATATATATATATATATATATATATATATATAAAGTTGTTACTAATGCATGAAATTGTGTTCCAGCAACATTTGCATTTGAAAACATGGCAAATTTCGCATTGGCAGTGAACTTGGTCACATATTTCAATTCGGTGATGCATTATGACATAGCCGACGCAGCAAACCACCTCACCAACTTCATGGGAACCGGTTATATTCTTTCCATCCTTATGGCTGTTTTTGCTGATGCCTATATTGGTCGATTCAGAACTGTTCTTATCGCAGCATTTGTAGAATTTCTGGTAATTAATTAAGCTTGCGTATATACAATCATAGAAAAAGATGTACGGAAACATTTCATGTACTGATGAATTAATGTTCTTGATCGATGATTTTACTTTATATAGGGACTTGCACTCCTCACATTACAAGCTCACTATCCAAAATTTCAACCACCCCTTTGCAACATCTTTCTGCCAACGTCAAACTGTGAGAAACTGAGTGGAGGAAACGCTGTGATGCTGTTCTCTGCGATCTACCTGCTGGCTGTTGGTGCTGCGGGTGTAAAAGCTGCATTGCCATCACATGGTGCAGACCAGTTTGAAGAAAAAGACCCTAAAGAAGCTACAACGATGTCAACCTTCTTTAACTGGTTGCTTCTAGCTGTTGTATTGGGGGGTTCAGTTAGCTTAACTTGCTTTGTTTGGGTTCAAGACAACAAAGGTTTTGACTATGGATTCGGGCTTTCTATGATTGCCATGTTCGTGGGTGGGATCATCTTGATTTGTGGATTACCGTGGTATCGTATATATGTTGTGCAAGGAAGCAGTGCCATTACTGAAATCATACAGGTTTGTTCGGAACTTTAGGAGGATTCATTGTAACGCTTATATTCGTTTATTAATTGTAGGATTAACCCTAAGCTTGTTTTACTTTTCAGGTTTATGTTGCAGCGATTAGAAATAGTAACCTCCAACTTCCTGAGGATCCTTCTGAACTATATGAAGTCCCAATGGACAAAGAAGCTGGCCTTCATGAAGAATTCTTACCTCACAGAGATGTTTACAGGTTAAGTTTAATTTGTATCTAATTTCAATTTTGTTTTGATCTTACTTCTATTTCCCGCTGGTACTCTTGTAGATTTTCAGTTAAATGATTTGTGGTTTTCATTACGTAGGTGGCTGGATAAAGCAGCGATCCGATCTGACAACACAGGTTCAAGTCCATGGAAACTTTGCAGAGTTACACAAGTTGAAAATGCGAAAATCTTACTAGCAATGGTTCCAGTATTCTTGTGTAGCATTATTATGACACTTTGCTTAGCCCAACTCCAAACGTTCTCAGTTCAACAAGGAGTCACCATGGACATCAAGCTCACAAAATCGTTTAATATGCCACCCGCGTCCCTCCCAATTATTCCTGTGGCTTTCCTAGTTGTTTTAATTCCAATTTATGACAAAATCATTGTACCATTACTACGCAAATTTACTGGAATCCCCACAGGGATAACTTACTTGCAAAGAGTAGGAGTAGGCCTTATCCTCTCTTCAGTATCCATGGCAATCGCAGGGATTATGGAAGTGAAACGAAAAGACGTAGCTAAAGACCACAACATGCTGGACGCAATTCCTGTGCTTCAACCACTGCCCATTAGCGTCTTCTGGTTATCATTCCAATATTTTGTTTTTGGTATTGCTGATATGTTCACGTATGTGGGACTACTTGAGTTTTTCTACTCTCAAGCACCAAAGTCTATCAAATCAATTTCTTCTTGCTTTCTTTGGAGCTCAATGGCAATCGGGTATTTCGTGAGTAGTATCATGGTGAAGATTGTTAACCACGCGACTAAAGCTGGGACAAAAAGTGGAGGCTGGTTGGCTGGGAACAACATAAATAGGAATCATTTGGAATTGTTCTACTGGCTGCTTGCTATATTGAGTTTGATCAATTTCATAGTCTATCTGTTTGTTGCAATGAGGTACAAGTATAGACCACAGAGTCTTGATAGTGAGGATGAGCATTATCGTGAGGTACATCAGTTGAGGACACTAAAGCCTTCAATGTAGGCTTTATAATTAATATGTGAATTCAAAGATCTCTAAACTATAGGGTTCTAATTAAGTTTGAGCTTCTTCATTTTCTTTTATTTGTTTTCTGATAGTAAGTTGTATAATTTCCTTTTACTTGTAAGTTTAAAGTCATTGGGATGGTGTGTATTTATATTTAGAGTAACCTGCAAAATAGTACTTGTGGTTTGTTATTTTCTTTGATTTTCATCCTTAAAGGAATCTTTTTCTATTGAAGGTTTTTATTTCAGAGTTTCATTCTGATTTGTCCCGCCATTGAAAACTGCATTTAGATCTATTAACTTATTAAGTTTATTCACATACCTTGCATACAAGGGCGTTTTGGTCTTTTCGTTCTTCCTTCTATTTAAAGATCTTACATGGAACATAAACAACTTTTTTTCATCTTTTGATTAATTTCTTCCTTCCCTCATCTTCTTGTTTTGCTAATGTTCTTTAATCAGCTTTTACTGTATAACAAGGGCCACATGTGTGTGTAAGAGTTTCATTAATTCGATCTTCATGGACATCTCAAAACCTATTCTAGCTAGAGAAGACAATTATAACTTGCCTCAAAAATACCCTATGGTTTTCATGCTAATTTATATAGATACCATGTACAGGATCATGATTACACTAGATACTAAGTATTAGGATCTTTTCTATACAATAAACTATTATTTGAATTAAGCTATGTTATCTCTAATTAAGTACCATGCTTACATTCCAACTGAATCTTAGCCGTGAAAAAGTTTAGATTGTATCTTAGCCGATCTAGCATGTTGCGAGTTATTGGCTTTGTAAACCAGTTAGCAACCTGGTCATTAGAGGATATCAACCAAACATTAAGAGTACCCATTACATATTCTCTCTAACAAAATGAAACTCCACTTCTATGTACTCCGTTCTGCATGGAACATTGGATTAGCGATTAAATAGGTAGCTCCTAGATTATCACATCATATATAAGACTGGCAATTGTATGAGAGGTAAAAAGCGATTCTTATTAATCTTTGACAAGGAATTACAATGGTATAAATACAATTACAATGAATGAACAAAAGGAAATAAAATCAATCTTAAATTAGGAAATGATATTATCCCTTTTCGTTAATACCCCCCCCCCCCCCCTCAATCTTAAATTAGGAAATGATATTATCCCTTTTCGTCAATACCCCCCCTCAAGCGAACTGGTGGAGATGACACATGCAATATATCTCGAAATTCTTGAAATTGAGGTCTTGGGAGTGGTTTAGTAAAGATGTCAGCCACCAAAGATGTCAGCCACCTGGAGCTTGGTAGGAACATATTTTGTATGAAGTTTTCCGGAAGAAACTAATTCTCGAACAAAATGATAGTCAATATCAATATGTTTTGCACATTTGTGAGAAATAGGGTTTTGGCTTAGAAAGACAGCACTGAGGTTATCACATAATAAGGTAGGACGTCCCGGTGGTAAAGCATGTAAATCATGAAGTAGATGAGTGATCCAAATAAGCTCAGCAACAGTGTTGGCCATAGCACAATATTTAGATTCACAACTTGATCGAGAAACCGTTGGTTGTTTCTTAGCACTCCATGAAACAAGATTACCTCCCAAAAAAATTGAGTAACCATACGTAGAACGTCGAGTTTCAATACATCTAGCCCAATCAGCATCTAAATAGCCAATTAAGGATCCCATGGGTACGTTTGAAAAGGTAAGACCATAAGTAAGAGTACCCTTGAGATAACACAAAATACATTTCACCATCTGAAAATGATGAATAGTTGGAGCATGTAAAAATTGACTGGCTTGATTTACAGCATATGAAAGATCAGGTCTTGTAATCGTTAAATACTACAAAGCTCCAACTAAAGAGCGGTAATGAGTGGGATCTAGGATAAGGAGTGCCAATAGAGACAAAAACATCATTCGTGCTCAATGGAGTGGCCACATGTTTTGAGTCTAATAATTTAGCACGTATGAGAATATTATATGAGCATACTTGGATTGGTTTAGAAATAAATCAGTTTCAGTGTAAGAAACTTCAAAACTCAATAAATACCCGAGAGAACCCTTGTCTTTAATGGAGAATTCGGCATGAAGACGAGTGATAAATTTTCCAATAGAAGACTCATCATTGCCGGTGAGAATGATATCATCTACATAAACAAGCAAGTATAAAATACATGAGTTTTTGTGAAACACAAAAATTGATGTATCAGATTGGCTGCAATGAAATCCTTTTTGTATAAGAAATGTGCTTAATATTTGAAACCAAGCACGAGGTGCTTGTTTTAAACCATATAAAGCTTTTTTAAGACGACAAACATGATTGGGAAATGTCGAATTTGTAAAACCCGGAGGTTGCTCCATGTAGACAGTTTCATTTAGGAACCCATTTAAGAAAGCATTTTTAACATCAAGTTTATGAAGACGCCATTTGCGTGTAACCGTAATAGATAAGACAATGCATACAGTGGAGGCTTTAACTACCGGACTAAACGTATGAGAAAAATCAAACCCCTGTATTTGATTAAAACCTTAAGCAACAAGTGCTTTTAAACGATCAACCGTTCCATCAACTTTATACTTGGTACGAAAAAACCCATTTTGAACCGGCAACATTAGAGGATGATGGTCGTGGGACTAGACCCCAAGTTTGTTGATTATGAAGTGCTTGAATTTCATCATGCATTGCTTGAAACCACGAGGGATCTTTGGAGGCTATTTTAAAACCGTGTGGTTCTTTAGCTGTGAAAAGGGCATGATGCAAATTAGATGTATTGAGAATGGAGATGTCTGCACAATATTTGGGATGAAAAATCCTAGATTTTGAACGAGTTTGCATGGAATGTGTAGGTAAAATATTGGCATTGGGTATAATTGCCTTTGGGATGTGGGCCTCCTCGGGTTGATGTTGAGGCACGAGTGGAGGTTCATCATCACGATGGGCTTCTTCGTGATGGGCTTCCTCAGGTTGGGCCGGTGGGTCAGGAAATGGAGGCTGATGAGGCGAAGAGTCAACACAAACTGAACATGGCGGATTGGTGGGTTTGTGTGAAAGTGACGAGCTGACAGGAGGAACGGAAGGCATGGATGGTAAAACTTCAGTATGGGTAGTGGTTGAAAGTTGATCAAGTACCGAAAAGGTACCGATGGATGAGTAAGGAAAACAAGCCTCATCAAAAGTTGCATTGCGGGTGATAAAGATACGTGAAGTTGTAGGATCCATGCTGTTGGATTAGGTGTCTAAGCCCACAACTATAATTGGTATGTACTTGAATTGATAGCATCACAGTCCTTTTGGGTTGCCCTCAACCTAGCAACTGGACATGGAAATTATGAAAGGAGAGATATTAATTTATAAGATTAATAAATTAATATAAATGGTTTATTAATATGTTAAAAGATTAATATATTAATTAGAAATCATTATGTTTAATTAATAGTTAGCCAGAAATTAATCAGAATTAATTTTGGGGTTAAAAGTATTAATTATAAAGTGCAGGGACTAGTTTGCAATTATCAGATAGTTGAGTGAAAGGCTCCAGAACCTCCTTGGAAGGAGGTGGACAAAATCTATAGGGGAAACCCTAAGGATTTCGTCCAAGGGGGCTTTGGATAAGGCCCTTGGGTTTGCTTAGGCCCTAAGCAAAGGAGCATTAGGGTTTTCCCTAAACCCTAGATCCCTCAGCTATATAAGGAGCCTCCCAGCTCTCAAAATCGGTCACTCCTTCTTTGAAGAAACCCTAGGGACGAAATTGCATACTCTCTCTACCCTCTCTCCTTCTAGTTTCCTTCTTGCTAGTACTTGGGTGTGATTCCATTAGAGGCATTACATTTGTGGTGCTAAGCTTCAAAGAAGATCAAGATCAAGATCAAGAGGATTATCAATTGTTTGCTGTAACAATTGAAAGGTATGTAACTCTTAAACCCTAGTTAGTTATTTTCGAAAATAGCCTTTCTCCTCTAGGGTTCTTGTTTTTGCAATTCAAAGTTGTATGTTCAATAGTTAAAACATAGATCCAAAGTAGGTTGCATGTGAACTTAGGAATTGTTTTCTGGTTTATTTGTTTTACCTAAAACCCATCAGTGGTATCAGAGCCATTGTTTGTTTTAAATTGAATTGCTATAATTGTTGAATTGCAAATTAGGGTTTATAGCCATTAAACCCTAAAGGCCAAAATTTTCGATTTTAGGGTTTTGGATTAAAGGGTTTTCGAAAACCCTAGCCTCCAAGAACCCTAATCGAAATTAGGGTTAGGGTTTTGGAAACCCTAGCCTCCTCCCCTTAAATTTCGAAATATGCTAGCTTTTTTTAGGGTTTCCTTGTTTTGGATAATAGTTGCCTTATTGGATAATTGAGATAAATAAGGAAATTATCTTATCCCCATATTTTCGAAATCTAGAAGAGATATGGATTAGGATTAAATTAATTGTTTAATTTAATTAGATAATCCTTACAAGATTTAATAAATTAATTAAAAGTTAATTAATAGATAAATATTAAATCTAGTTATTTGGTTTATTTAAATTTAAATTAATAGTTTAAATTTCGAAATTTATATAAACCTTAAAGTTTTAAAAAGTTTAAAACACACCTTATATATGTATTATAATTAAAAGTTAAATATTATATATGTATAAGAATATGGTCAGTCAAATCGCTAGTATGCCTCATTCATGAAGCTAGTCTATAAGGGGGGTATCAGGAAACTGTCTATAAAATGGTAGTTGAATGGGTGTCCACTCTCACCCACCGCTTCCTTGATTAGTGGAGGGTCGTTAGCAGAACGAGTTTGATAGGACAACTACTTCTCATTAAAAGTATAATGTTATTAAAGAAAGTATTAGAACATTATTTTTCAAAATCCCAACTCTAGTTACTTTAGGAAAAATGTGAAAAGTATGCTAATCCATGAAATTGCACATTATGCTTTATTAGTCGTTAGAGGAGCGTGTGTGGTTAACCAGCACACTAAAAGGTACTGATAAAGAGTAGTAATGGGTATCT